GTGGAATGGCATCGGACGCCACAAACCAATGAAACTGATGGATTTCAGGCTTGTGGTTTTTTTTTTCCTCAGTAGTAAAAGGAATTGATTTTCACTGCTTAGGAAAATCTTGGCAGCAGTTTTGTGCTAATTCATCTGAGGTGCTGGGTGCCCGAACCACCCCCAGTTTGGCGTTCAGAAATTTGCTGGAAGAAGAAATAGTACCAGTTTTTGCAAAGCATTTACATATATTTTTCCATCAAATAAAACATATAATTGCCGGGACTTGTGTTAAAAAAACATAGTGCTGTAGTCTGTGGTGCTTTTGAAGAAAAGGCCACATTGCGGGGCTGGTAATAGCAACTGGCAGAATTCGTCACAGAATGAGCAAAATCAACGTCGCCAGCCAAATTATTCCAAAGAATTCATACGCTGGTGAAAACGTGGGCGGTTTTTACTTTATCAACTGTAGTTGTAGTTCTAAGCTACTGACTCCAGTACTAATGATATTTAGACGAAAACTCAAAAACTAGATCTCAGTTCTGGCGCCTCTTTGGTTATTACTGTGCATCCAAATTCTGTATATCTTAAAAGTGATTTTGGAAAGCCTGAGCAAATTCGCATTCCTCCAAAATTACAAACTTTCTGATTTGTTAAATGGCTCACAAAGAGCCAGTTAATGTTTTTCTCAAACTTCTTAGCTTATTTTCTAATGGGCATATTTATTTTTGTATTTTTGGCATACGTGTTTTTCTGGGGTGTGAATCATCTTATTTGGATTTGACTTCGGCTTGACATGGAGAAATCGTTCCAAAACTGGAAGTTAATTATTTTTTCTTTAAATTTGCAGGTGAAAAGGCCAGGTGATCGCAACGTAAAATGCACCATACTGCTGTTGCTGGATTACCAGCCGATGCGATTCAAACTGCATCCACGTCTGGCAAAAGTTCTTGGAATGGCCACTGAAACACGCCCAAAAATCATTGAAGCACTTTGGCAATACATCAAAACACACAGACTGCAGGTAATTGTCACAAAAACAATGTCTTTACATTGCTTTGAAGAAAGCTTTAATTATAAGTCTGACTACTTTGATATGTTGTTGTTTCATCATCGCCTTCCTTCTCACTACTGATGCAACAACTTCTATTTCGTGCTATTCAGATGGATTTTCCGTCTTCTTAGGGACTTTCCCAGCTCTCATCTGGTACCATTCATGAATCTGCCTTGTCCATTTGTTGTCTCTCATTCTCATCATAGAGCTAGTCCAAATCTTTGTTTTGGCCTGCACTGCTGTGCT